TTTCTTTCATTTTTCCTTTTTTTCTTTTTTTTAAAAAAAAAAAAAAAAATACGTAAAATAATGTCTATTGAACTATTTTCTAAATTATTAAGTCAAAATTATATTGAACTATTAGAAGATAATGAATATTATGATATTACAATTGAAGTTGGTGAAGATCCTAATGTAAAAATCTTTCGTGCTCATATGAATATTTTATGTTATCGTTCTCCGTACTTACGACGAACTTTGGCTTCTAATAAAAAGAATGATAATGGTGTTTTATCACATATTAAATTGCCGAATATATCACCGGAAATCTTTCAAATTATCTTGAGGTAAATTTTTTATTTATTATGCAATCAAATTTAATATAAAATACCTAATTTAAATTTTTTTTTTTTAATATAGGTATATATATGGTGGTATTCTTTCATTCAATGGACAAGAAACCTCAGATATTCTAGGTACATTGGTAGCTGCAGATGAGCTTCATCTTCAAGAACTAGTTAATCATTTACAAAATTATTTAATTAAAAATAATTCTGAGTGGTTGGAACAACATTTTGAACTTGTTCATCGGACGAGCTTCCAATCCAAATCATTATCAGAACTTCAACAATTTTGCATAAATCTAATGGCTGAATCTCCTGAAAAAATATTTAAATCGTTTGATTTTACTTCACTTTCTGAAAAATCTTTAGTTACACTTATTAAAAGAGATGATTTACAAATGAAAGAAATTGAAGTATGGGAATATGTTTTAAAATGGGGACTTGCTCAAAACTCAACTCTTAATCAAAATCCAGATACTTGGTCAGATGATGATTTTAAAACAATGAAAAATACCCTACAACATTGTTTACCCTTAATTAGATTTTTCTGTTTATCATCAAAAGAAATAATGCAAAAAGTTCGACCTTATCAAAAACTCTTAAGTAAGCAACTATATGAAGACTTAATATGCTCTTATATGGATCCTGATATTGTATCAACTGATAGTATTTTACTTCCTAGAAAAATTAAAAATAATAAAATTATTGATTCAAAAATTGTGGATTTTGATATTTTTTTAACTATTTTAAGATGGATTGACAATAATGATAGCAAATTTGCTCATGTCAGAGAATATTATTTACCGCGTGAGTTTAATTTACTATTACGAGGAAGTAAAGATGGATTTACTCCTAGAAAATTTCATGAATTATGTAATGGTAAATATAATACTATTACGTTCATTAAAATAAAAGGAACAGATGAAATTATTGGTGGATATAATCCTTTAAAATGGGAATCTTCTGCTGATACTTGGGGTATTACTAATGGTAGTTTTATTTTCTCTTTTATAAACAAGAATATTAAAGATGCAATTATTAGTAATGTAATAAATTTAAATCATGCTATTTATTTTAACACTAATTGTGGTCCATATTTTGGCGATGATATTGTTTTTTATAATTCGAAAGATCAATTTACAGATTATGATAAAATCCGCTGTAAAAAGTGTTGTTATGAAAAAAAGATAAGAGACTCTGAAGATTATTTTTCTATAGAAGATTATGAAGTATTTCAAATCATAAAGCGATAATTTTATGGCGACAAGAATAATTTCTATTAATCATAAGAAATCAAAATCACAAACTAAATTAGAGAAAACGCATTAATATTTATTTTAGTTTTTTTTTCCTTTTTTTATAATTAAAATACTACTGGAATAATTCCGTATAGTTCCATAACTAGTATAACATTTAATACTTGGATATTATTTCTTAAAATTTCAACATGAAGTTTTATTTATGTAGTAAAGTAATCTCTTTTTTTGATACAAATATAAATAAATACAAGTAAATAATCGATCCTTTTGTATTCATTTATTTATAAAATAATTAACTAAATATCATGAGCAGAACTGCCGTGATCATATCAAATTTGCAATTAGCAAGAATTGTTATAATAAACTGTTGAATTGTTTAATTAATCAATAAGAATAATGAAACTAAAATTCAGATAACCGATTCCAGTTGAATTATATTGCAAATTGCAACTATGGGTAGAAAAAGATTGAAATTGCGCAACCGTGAACTAACCCCTTGTGAGTTTCATTTTATTTTAATAAAATTATTTATAGTGGCGAAACCGAAATAATTGTTGGTTTGCATTTTGCAATAATGTAGGATAACGTAATATATGTCAACTTTAAAAGGCGTAGGGTGAGATCTAGCAGAGGAATGAGAGTTAGAATCACAGATCTAATTAAAAACGTTAATTTAATTAATCTATGATATTTTCTATATTATAAAAGTTCAAATATCATTATCATATTATGTTTTTTACAATCAAGGCTCGTTATAACGAAGTTCGTTATAGTAAATTCAGCTTATAGTAATATTTTTCTATTTTCCCGGTTTACTTTTTTTATAATAATTTTATTCGTTATAGTAAACTTACTAATAAAATCTCGATATTGGATATAGTGAACTTTTTTAAAAAATTTACTATAGAACATATACTATAAATTTATGCTAATTGCGAACTACTTTTTTTGTATTTATCTAATTTAGTGAATATCAAGATGATATCAATAAAGTTTATTTGGAATTACAAAAAACTAAATTTACAAGGTCATATTATAGCTGAGGAATTTATTTATATTGACAATTAAATCCCAATAGTACCATTATCAAATAAAAAAATTATAGATATAATAATTAAAAAATTAGAAATTAATATTATCTAGTAAAAAATTTTAAAATCCGCTCATAATATTATAATTAATTAGAATTCTATAATTATGTGTATACCGAACGAAATGAAATATTTTATTCTCTTTTATGTTTTCTCAAAAAATGCTTTGTTTTTACTTTTTTGATAAAAAAAAAAAGTTCATTAATTATTGTAAATAACAGGATATTAAGAAAAAAGCTTCCTTCTTTCATTGTAGAATATTCAATGCTTGAAGAATATGATGTTCCTTTAAATGTAAAATTTGATGTTATTAGCCATATTTCTTAAATATAATACAAAATATTGTGCTTGGTAGATGAAATCCTCACAAGATACATAATTTAGTAACTGAATAAAAAAAATATTCTTGAAAAATTTGGGTTGACCAGGATAAATTGAAAACACTAAAGAAAAGCTCTAAATTAATTTAAGTTTTTAAGAATTTTTCTCGTTTTTTAAATTATGATTGTCGAAAAATAACTTTAAATTTTTAAGGGAGAACAATAAATATCATAATTCTAATAATATTAAATACTTTTCTTGGGGACAAAATCCCCTCGCTAAGAAAATCATCTGAAAAAACTTAATTTGCTAGTTTAACTTTATTTATTTGATTTATTTGTAAGAAAATTCAAATATGATAATCACTAATTCATAGTAATTAATAAATAAATTTTCCACCATTTAATGCATGATTCCAAGCATGATACCAAAGATGTTGCTTTGGTTCAATTGGAATATCTCCTTTACTTTTTAATCCATTAATCCAATATTTAAGTGGTGTCTCTCCATTATTTTGTATAGTTGGTTGTAAACAATCAAGCACATATTTAAATAATAAATCACCAGTAAGAACAGGGATTTTAAGTACACTTGCAATATAATCAGCTGATTTGGCTTTAATACATATTGGAGCCCAAATATCTGCTATTTTTTTTTTTTCTTTTTTTCTTCTTTCGTCTTTATTATCTACACTAGCTCCAAATACAAAAACATGCTTAGAAGTTAATTCTGAAAGTTTTCTATCATCATAATAATAATAAGGGTGAAGATTCAATGGATCTCCATAATCATATTGTTCAAGTGGATCTCTAAAATAAATTTTTAAGTTAAATTTGAGATTTCTTATGATGAAAATAATTATTTTGACACATTAAAACACTTACATGTTTTTGGCATGACCATTTTTTTTTTCGTTACTTAAAATTAAATAATGTTAATAAATAAACACATAAGTATAAATAAATACAGAAAAGTTGACATATACTTTATGATTTCCAGATCTTCACTAGGTAAGATTACAACAGAAGCTGTCCAAATAGCACTTACGGTACAATCATAATGGGGTAGAAACATAGTTGTAATGATAGCTGTAATGGATATGTTACTATTTACTGGAGAAGTAATCTTGATTCCAGTTCTATTAACACTAATGTTATAAATATTACGAAAGCACTCAAATGATGAAATTGGCTCAGTATAGGGACGAATAGATTCAAAAATAGCTTGAGTTTCTGGGTCATGTACTAATGCATCTGATTTTTTTTGTTTAATAGGAAATTTTTGAATTATGTCATAAGCTATTGGTAATAAATCTTTATCAAGATTTGAAAGTCTAGAATAATTATCAATTGCAAATTGGCGAAACCATCCTCTTGTCAATGTAGTGCAAATCCTAGCAAGTGCTAAACTGTAAGAAGTTTCTTGATTTTTGGAAATCATTGGAATAAGATATCTTTCAAGTGCAATTACCATTGCTTCTTCTTTAACGCAATTAAGCTTTGTTTTATAGTCAAGGTTCTCAAAAAGAGATTTTTTTGTCCATGCTTTAGACTATTTTGCATTTTTTTTTTATGTTAGTATTTAGGTTTTATACAAATAATGACTTATAATAATTAAATTTTTATACCTGATCATCTTTTAAACTTTTATAAATTGGTTGATCACCATATTTAACGAGTTCATGTAAGTAATCATGGGGAACATGCTTTTGTACAAATAGAATGTCTTCGTGATCCAAGAATTCTTCATTGGTCATATTTAATTTGATGTGTGCGCCTGGTTTACCTCGTATTATTTCAGTTTCCTTGATACGAGTCTTTAACATAAGTTCAATTGGCTTATCACGTTGTGGACTGCATAATGGTTGAGTCATTGATACTTTATTATATCCCAATAAAATTCTTAACAAATGTAAGTCTGCAATATTCTTTTGAAAATCAGCTGGCCAATAAATGTGAGATGTTTTCAAAGCTTCAAGAATTTTTAATGGAGCAACAATACATGGAAAACTTGATAATAATGGAAACAACATTTTATCTTCAATATTGCGACACAAATCACTAATCATCAGAGCACTTATTTTTTGTTGAATATCATTAAACATTTCAAATTCAATTTTACTTTCATTTAAGTTTATGTTGTCCTCAATATAGTTGTCATCTTCATTATTATTATCATTCTCATCACTTTCTTCTTCATTTAGAATAACATTTGACTTCATATTTCTAAGATCCATTTTATCAGAGACAAGTTCAATATCAAAGTTGATAGATTTTCCATTTGTAAATGGGTCAATACACCCTCCAACAAGTTTTAATCCACCCCCTGGATAATGAATTAATTTTATATTTTTAAAAGTTACATTAGAACTTTTAGCTTTATTAATAAATAAAGTTGATTGTGAAGGGGTTGCAACTAAATCCCAATCATTAGGTTCACGGAAGAAAGGCACGTGCCATTTTGCAGCACGAGAACCAATAAGCACAGGATATTTTATAAGAGAAGTGCAGCCTCCATCAATTTTGGAGATATTATTTAGAATTGATAATATTTTCTTAGAATTATAAGCGAGGGTTTGAGGTTTAATCATTTTTTTTTAATAAAATTTTTAATTTATCAGATGAGTTGGAAACAAAAAAAAAAAAAAAAAATACTTAGGGGTTTAGTTAAATAATCGAATATAGTGTTTCTATTTTTGTATTAACTTTCTTTTCTTACGTAAACATTAACGTTAAATTAACACATGATTATCAATGTGAAGTGTTGTATAATCAACAAAAAGGTTTAAATTAAAAATCATGTTCAGGAAAGGATGTCTCAAACAAAATTATGAACTTCAAATTATAATAGTAAGAGATTAAACAACACATGCAGAAATCAAGGAGAATAAGGTGAAATCAAATAGAAGGAATAAATCATATTATAGAAAATGTGATTTTTTTTTTAATTAATTTTCATATTTTGTTATATCATTATGATAAATAATGAAATAGTGAATTGTAATTTGAATTTTAATATAAGTATTAAATTATCCGTACATTTAATTTGCTGATGATCCAATATTTGTAATAATTATTATAAATTATATATTTCAATGTCAATATTCGTGATCGTCAATGATAAATATTATGTGATTTGATGAGATCGATCATTGGGTCAAAATGCACGTGATTAATTGATATCTTGGAATATTTTTATAATTTGGTTATTCCATTTTAAACCAAGGCATCTTTGGTGTTAAGCTTAACTTAGTGTTAAAATGTGTTTATTTGTATACGCTGATATCAATTAATCCATAAAAAAAACTAAATAAAAATAAATTCTTCCATTTTACTTACTATATATTAATGATAGGATTAATTTTATTACGTTCTTTTAATAGTCCTTCATATAGAAAATAAACAAAATTTAATGAACAAATCATACCAAATGATAAAATTGATAGACTGTCACTCATAGACAAAATACTAGTTGGATTTTTGAATGGCAGAAAGGAATCCTTTCTCATAATAATTTATTTATATAATTTGTTAGATAAAAAATTTTTTATAGATAAGTCATAATAATAAAAATAGAGAGAAAATCACTGTAGATGAGTTTATAAATAAAGTTACTGATAGTATAGTAGGTCAACTACTGGGCGGTCATTCTTGAAAAACAAGAACCAATAAATTACACACAAATAGACAGAACCCACTTGTGCTGCTTTGAAGGAAATTATATTGCAAGTATGTGACTAATATATCTAGTTATCTAATAAAAGAAAAATAACTTGTTTTATTTTACACAGTATACCATATTAATCTTTAGAGCGTCTGAAGTGCTATAATCACAATAAAGGATATAAACATCATTAAATTTATTATAAATATTAAATTATATGTTAGATTATATGTTAAAAGTTAGTGCTTTGTTGCAAATTTTTAATTTATTTCTAGTTTATTCAGTTTAACTCAGTTTAATTATGATTGAAACTCCTGATTGTGAAGGGATTTGCTTTCTAAGAATTTTTTTTGCTGTAAATTTTTAAAACAGAAAGGGCATCTTAAAACATTAGGTCAATTAATTATGCAAATAATTAAAATACTTATTTGTAAATAAATGTTAATATATTATACATTTCATACCAATTAAACAAATTTTAAAAACGCCAATATGATGAAAATTGCAGATCTATCCATTCCAAGTTAGAACATTTATATTATTTCCACAAAAATTGAATCAGAACTCTTTACTCATAAAAATGATTTACTTGAATTTCAATATAATATTATATCATCAAAAAAGCTTTTTTATTTTAATATGAGAACTTGGGAGCTCTTGATGCTTTAAAATGATAAAATTGAAAACTTTCGTTTAAAGGAACTTTTTATATTAATATAAAGTTTACTATATAAAAATCTTTGAATATTCGGTTATAGTTGAACAAAAATAGTTAGACCCGAGTAACGTGGCTTGCATTGTGAAACGAAATTTATACTTATTTTATCTAGTCAATGATTATATAATTGTACATCAATATAATAATTATTATTTAACTTGCCAAATTTAAAAAAAAGTTTTTTTTTCTCTTTTTTTTTTATTTTTTTTTTAAGAAAAAAATCGTAAATAATGTCTACTGAATTGTTTTCTAAATTATTAAGCCAAAACTATATTGAACTATTAGAAGATAACGAATATTATGATATTACAATTGAAGTTGGTGAAGATCCTAATGTAAAAATTTTTCGTGCTCACATGAATATTTTGTGTTACCGTTCTCCATATTTACGACGAATATTAGCTTCCAATAAAAAGAACAACGATAACGTATTAACCCATATTAAATTACCGAATATATCACCGAAAAATTTTGAAATTATTTTAAGGTAAGCTTTTTAATTCTCACAATCAAATTTATATTACTATAAATAATTAATATTTAAATTTTTTATTATAGGTATATTTATGGTGGAATTATTTCATTGAATGGACAAGAAACTTCGGAAATTTTAAATACATTGGTAGCTGCGGATGAGCTTCATCTTCAAGAGCTAGTTAATTATTTACAAAAATATTTAGTTGAAAATAATTCTGAATGGTTAGAACAACATTTTGAACTTATTCATCGGACAAGCTTCCAATCTAATAATTTATCAGAACTTCAACAATTTTGTACAAACTTAATGGCTGAATTTCCCGAAAGAATATTTAAGTCATTTGATTTTACTTCCCTTCCTGAAAAATCTCTAATTTCACTCATTAAAAAGGATGATTTACAAATGAAAGAATTTGAAGTGTGGGAACATGTATTAAAATGGGGTTTTGCACAAAATCCAAATCTTGTTTCAGACCCTGACGCTTGGTCAGACGATGATTTCGAAACAATGAAAAATACTTTGCAAAATTGTTTGCCCTTAATTCGATTTTTTTGCTTATCATCTAAAGAATTAACACAAAAAGTTCGTCCGTATCAAAAACTCTTAAGTAAACAACTTTATGAAGACTTAATAGATTCTTATATGGACCCTGATAGGGTATCAACTGATAATATTTTATTTCCTAGAAATATCAAAACTATTGATTCAAAATTAGTTAATTCAAATATTGTTTCATTTATTTCAAGAAGGATTGATAAAATAGATGTTAATTATAATAGAAAATTTACTTATATTAGAGAATATCTACCGTACAAATTTAAATTATTATTAAGAGGAAGTAGAGATGGATTTACTCCTAAAAAATTTCATGAATTATGTGATGATATATCTAATACTGTTACGTTTTTTAAAGTAAAAGGGGAGAATGAAATTATTGGCGGATATAATCCTTTAAAATGGATGTCTTCTGATGGATCTTGGCATAAAACTGATGAAAGTTTTATTTTTTCTTTTAAAAATAAGGATATTAATAATGCAATAATTAGTGATATAGAAGAAACAAATTGTGGCTTTTATAATGGCTTTCAATATGGTCCATCCTTTGGCAATGATATTAATATATTTAATTCTAACGATCAATTTGCAGATTATAATAATATTAGTTATTCGAAGCAACATTATAAAAAGAAGATAAGAGATTCTAGAGGTGATTTTAATATAGAAGATTACGAAGTATTTCAAATCGTAAAACGCTAGTTTTATGAGACAAATAAATTCCTATTACCATAAGAAATCGAAATTATAAACTAAGGATTTTAATTGGAGAACGTATTCGTGTTTTATTTTAATCATTTTTCTTTTTTTTTTACATTACTGAAATAATTCCATAGTTCCGTAGCTTGTATTACGTTTAATACTCGGACATTTACCAATCTTTTCTCTTATGAAAGCTTTATGTATTAAAGTAAACCTATTTTTTAATGCAAATAACAAATAAATATAAATAAATCATAAATTTTTTTTTAAAATCCAAAAATAATAACAAAAAATTCCGCAACAAAAAGTTCAAATGTATTAAATGTATTGTATTGTCGTATTTGTATTTATTAACTTTATTTATAACGTATCTTGCATTATGAAACGAAAATATCTAGCCATAGATTATAATTGTAACAATTATTATTAACAAATTTAAAAAAAAATTTTTTTTTTTTAATAAAAAAAAATTCGTAAAATAATGTCTACTGAACTGTTTCTAAATTATTAAGTTGAAAATTATATTAAACTACTATTAGAAGATAATGAATATTATGATATTACAATTGAAGTTTTTCGTATTCATATGAATATTTTATGTTATTTCACGAAGATTGATTTCTAGTAAGATAATGTTATCACACATTAAATTACCAAATATCACCGGAAAATTTTCAAATTATTTTAGTGTAAATTTTTTTAAATATTATACACTCAAACTTATCTACATAATTTTTTTTATGTAGGTATATTTATGGTGGTATGTTTTCGTTAAATAAACTTGACATTTCAGATTTTCTTAAAATTTTGGCGCTGCAGATAACCTTCATCTTCAAGAACTAGTATTGAAAATAATTCAAATTGGATGGAGCAACATTTTGGGTTTACTCAACAAATTAGTTCACAATCTAATAATTTATTAGAATTTTGTACAAATTAAATGTGAAAAAAAATATTTAAATCTTTTGATTTCACTCACTTTTTGAAAATCTTTAATTTTACTTATTAAAAGAGCCCCGTAAAAAAAGTCGATCCGTTTTTTATATTCCATCTTTTTTCCGTAAAAGGCTCATATTTCCGGAATTAATAACCTTATATCACGGAATTTATCGAATTATTTACATTTTCCGTTGAATGGATCCGGGTTTTTACAAAAATAGCGGATAAAATTTTTATAGAAGAAATTGAAGTATGGGAGCATTTACTAAAATGGGGTCTTGCAGAGAATCCAAATCTTATTCCAGATCCTAAATCTTACTTCAAAACGATAAAAATATTGTTTACCTTTATTTAGATTTTTTTGGTTTATCATTTTGAGAATTCTCATAAAAAGTTCGACCATATCAAAAACTAGATCGACAACTATTAAATATCTTGGTAGTGTGTTAAAATACAACGTTCAAGAAAAATTAATGATTCTCAAATTAATGATTGATCCTAATATTATTTCAACTGTTTCAAAATGGGTTGAATAAAGTGGTTATTAATGATGTTTACCATATAAAATTTGAACTATCTATAAAAGGATATACTCCTAATAATTATGTGATGATAAATCTGATACTGTTACATTTATTAAAGTAAATGGGATGGAAGAAATTGTTGGTGGATATAATTCTTTAAATGGGAATCTTCTAATATTTGGGAACTAATGATAGTTTTATTTTTCTTTTAATAATAGAAATATTGAAGATGTTATAATAAGTAATGTTAAAAATACAGATCACGCATTGAATTATCGCTCTGATTATAGTACATATTTTGGCCGAGATATTATTACATCATATAGTTCTAGTGATCAATTTACAGACTATGACAGTATTCGCTGTAAAAAGGAAAATGATAAGAGATTCTGAAGGTTTATTTTTCTATAGAAGATTACGAAGTATTTCAAAACATAAAGCTCTAGTTTTATTGGGACAAAATAATTTCTTATTATCATAAGAAATTATTAAGATTTTAATTGGACGGAACATCAGTATTCGTACCTTATTTTAACTTTTTTTCTTTTCTTTTCTTTTTTTACAACTAGACTGGATTAGATACCCGTATTTCCGGTAATTAATAATTAATACGGTTTAGGTAACGTCATTTTTACAATAAATAAAGTTTAAAATAAAAACAGATATGATTATTGCATATTATAGTAAGAAGATAACAAAAATGATACAACAAAAAATTCCATATTTAAAAAATTTAATAATGTACAACATTACTGTACTTATAGATAATGGATATAATAGCACTTTCATGCGTATTTGCACAATATATGATGTTATCTTTTAAAATATGAAGAAACGTGATAAAAATGGGGAATGGGCACTTGCTTTAATTAACATTGTTTTGTGCCAAGGGTCAATATTATATAAACAATTTTCTAAAAATTGAATATGCCCTGTTTTATTCTGACGAAGTATTTCATGAATCAAAACTTTGATAAAATATCTAATTTTAACAAACTTCTTTGTTTACAAAATAAAGTGGCATCAATATCTTTTCAGAAACATATGAAAAAATTAATTATCTCTAGATAATGAACGTGTGATTAAAGGAAAAATTAAATCAGTCCTATTATTATAAGATATAAACGGGACCCAGAAATATACTGTATATATGGATCGGGTGGAGAAAAATTTTTTTACTATGAATTGTACACAGAAACTTTTTATATGAGTAATACGCATAATTGACACCTGATATTGAAAATCCTGCAAAAATACGCAAATAAAATTCAAACATTAAGTTATAATTATTTTATCATGACTTCTATATTATTTATAAAACCAAATACTACTGTGAAAAAATAGAATTTATTCTAATTGTAGTTGAGGTATAACTAAAGATAGTACTATTTTTCTTTTACGAATAGGAATATTAAAGATGCAATTATTAGTAACGCAATAAATGTAAATCGTGCAATTTATTGTAACATTGATTGTGATCCATATTTTGGCGATGATATTATTATATGGAATTCTAAAAGTTAATCTATAGATTATTATGGAATTTGCTGCAATATTATGAAAAAAAGATGAGAGATTCTGAGATTGCGAAGTATTTTAAATCATAAAGCGCTAGTTTGAGATAAAAATAATTTTATTTCATATAAAAAATCGATATTACAAACTATTAGGATTTTAATTGTAGGGAACGTATTCGTATTCGTCACTACGGACTAAAAGATTTGAAGGTCCTTTGGAATTTTCGTCTTAGTGGCTGGGCAAGATATTGGTTTGCAATAATGTAGGATAAAATTGTACTATTTGAATATTAAATGAAAACTTTGGGTGGGTGGGTATCAAAGTCGTAGAGTTAGATCTACTGTAGAAGTTGAATTAAGGTTAGAATCGCAGATCTAAATTAAAAGTATTGCTTTTATATCTATATTTTAAATAAATACACTATGAGTTCTGCAACAAACCATGGCGAATTTATGAAATACTCCAAAATTTGTCCGTCATGTAAATTAAATAAAAAATATTTGACAATTGACAGTATTTTAACAAAATTTATTAGTGATCAGTCAAAAATGAGTCCCAAAAAATTTTTTGTACCCCAAATCTTGTCTCTAATCAATTTTTCCAGCGTCATTATTTGACATTTTTTGGATTCCAGAGGGAGCATGTCAAATTTCATAAATCCGTCGCAATGTTATGTTAATTAACTTTATTAGTAAGTTGGGCTTGAATTGTGAAACAATTGTGTAACGAAATTTATATTTTACATATATCTAGCCACGGGTACATCATAATACCAAATTTTTTTAAAAAAAAATTTTTTAAAAAAAATTCGTAAAATAATGTCTACTATACTGTTTTCTAAATTGTTAAGTCAAAATTATATTGAACTATTAGAAGATAATGAATACTATGATATTACAATTGAAGTTGGTGAAGATCCTAATGTAAAAATATTTCGTGCTCATATGAATATTTTATGTTACCGTTCTCCATATTTACGACGAATATTAGCTTCCAATAAAAGAAACAACGATAACGTATTAGCCCATATTAAATTACCAAATTTATCACCGGAAATTTTTCAAATTATTTTAAGGTAAACTTTTTGTTTATTTTTACAATCGAACTTAATTAAATAAATCACTTAATTCTATATTTCAATATAGGTATATTTATGGCGGTATTCTTTCATTGAATGGACAAGAAACTTCAGATATTTTAAATACGTTGATAGCTGCAGATGTACTTCATCTTCAGGAACTAGTTAATTATTTACAAAATTATTTAATTGAAAATAATTCTGAATGGTTAGAACAGCATTTTGAACTTATTCATCGGACAAGCTTCCAATCTAATAATTTATCGAAACTTCAACAATTTTGCATAAATTTAATGGCTGAAAATCCTGAAAAAATATTTGAATCGGTTGAGTTTACTTCTCTTCCTGAAAAATCTTTAATTTCGCTTATTAAAAAGGATGATTTACAAATGAGAGAAATTGATGTATGGGAACATGTGTTAAAATGGGGTCTTACACAAAACCCGACTCTTGTTTCAGATTCTAAAAATTGGTCAGATGATGATTTCAAAACAATGAAAAATACCCTACAAAATTGTTTGCCGTTAATTAGATTTTATTGTTTATCATCTATTGAATTCTCGCAAAAAGTTCGACCATATAAAAAACTTTTAAGTCAACAACTATATGAGGATTTATTAAATTCCTATTTGGATCCTAATAGTATATCAGCCGATAATATTTTACTTCCTAGAAAGATTAGAATGGATAAAATTATCGATTCAAAAATAGTTAATTTAAATATAGTTTCAGTTATTTCAAGAAGAATTGATAAAATTGAAACTGGTTATAATATCAAATTTGCTCATATTAGAGAATTTCATTTATCATACAAATTTAAATTATTATTAAGAGGAAGTAGAGATGGATTTACTCCTGAAAAATTTCATGAATTATGTGATGGTATATCTAATACTGTTACATTTATTAAAATAAATGGGATGGAAGAAATTGTTGGGGGATATAATCCTTTAAAATGGAAAAATAGTGGTTTGGGTAAAACTAATGATAGTTTTATATTTTCTTTTAATAATAAAAATATTATAGATTTTGTCATAAGTAATGTTAAAAATACAGATCATGCATTGAATAATAGTCACTTTAATTTTGGTCCATATTTTGGTCAAGATATTATCATATATAGTTCTAAAGATCAATTTACAGATTATGATAGAATTCGCTGTAAAAAGCAATGTTATGAAAAAAAAATAAGAGATTCTGAAGATTATTTTTCTATAGAGGATTACGAAGTATTTCAGATCGTATAGTGTTAGTTTTATTATGACAAAATAATTTCTTGTTATCATAAGAAATCGATGAAGATTTTAATTAGAAGAAACGTATTTGAATTTTTTTCACAATTAAAACATTATTGTAATAATTCCATACCTCCATAGCTTGTAGTACGTTTAATACTATTATACTGATTACTCAAAAAAAAAAAAAAAAAAGATGCGCATTTTGTTGAAACTGTTGAATTTTAACCTTCAAATTTTCCGGTGCACATCAAAGTAATCAAACTGCTTCTTCCTATGAATCTGTAATACTATAAAGAATTTTTTTTGTACATCGGAATAAAAACTAGTAAATTTGATTAGTACTTTAAAAATTGTAAGATAAAAAAAATTTTTTATTTATTTAATCTAAAAAATATTATATAATTTAGTCTTAAGTAGTCACATTATGTAGCGACGGATGTATAAAAAGTTGCCCCAAATATAATATACAAAGGTATTATGGATAATATTTAATTTAATTAATTATAAATTAAACATTTTAGGATATGGTTTTATTATTAACGCTTACTACTGTCTACTGTACTAGATTTTTATATAACGATGACGCGCAAACGTCACACATCATTTAATCTTTGTCTATCATTAAAATTATGTCCTTTGCGTTTAAAATTATCATTTATAAACATCAGTACACCAATCACATCACATCATAATCATTTTAATGACACTTACCATCGCTCGGAGAAAATTTCATTCAATTTCATTGAGTTTATTTTAATTAGATAGCACCTTCTGCTACATTTAGATAACATGTAACATAATCCTGCGTCAAATTCTTATTTTAGGTCGTATGGATTGTTTAGCCGTAATTGGAGTCGTGTTGATACAAAATCCGTATCATTCCATTTCGAGTCATATATTCCATTTAGGAATTCTTAAAAACTCAAAAAAACTCAGTGATATAGTAGTAAAGCTCAAATAGTTTTCAAGATTTTTTATATGAAGGATATTAAAAATCCATACTAGAAAAATTTTAATTTTGTATACATAGACGAAAAAGTTTAAAGGAGTATTTATAAAAAAAGAAAAACTTTATTTTTAATTAAATTTATTTTTCTTTGGATTAAATTGATTTTTTTTTTTTTTTTTTTTTTNAAATAGATTTAATTAGATTTTTATAGCTATTTTATTTTTATTTTATTTTCAACAAAAAATACAAATGTTATATAATAATAAATATTTTTTTTTTTTTTTTTTTGGTTTAAATTAAAAAATTTCTATTTATTGTATTAAAATGACAAATAAAAATATTTCTATTGTGATTCATTCTTTATTATTATCTTAGATAATTCTAAATACTGTACAAACATTAAAGTTCTTTCTTAAAAATTTTATATTCCTTTATCACTTACAAGTTACAATCTTAAATTTCATTGTAACCTCGTCTTAAGTCGAAACTGAGTAGTGGTATCGCGGGACATGATATTGTCGAAATAGATGAAAAAGAAATCGTATTTTAAATATAGCTCGCGATTTAATTTTTGTTGCAAAGTTAATGTACTATATTTGTATTTCAAATCATTTACATCAAAATCAATTTCATAAACCTTCTTGTAAATTTATAAAGTATATTGAACAAGTGAAATGTCGCGCATTAATAATATCATTTGACTGCGGTAGAAGACATTTGCTGCGTTGTTTCCGTGGTGACTCTTTGTATGGTTTCTGTCGATTGGTCTAGACGAACGTAAAATATATTCTTATTTATTTAAAAAGAATTCTTTTTGCGGTAATAAAATTATGAGGCCGCCAAAAGTAAGGGAAGTTACGAATAAATTTCTTTTTTTTAAAAAATAACGTCGAAATATATCACCCACTAAGCGAATGAGGCAAGAAAAAATTAAAATTTGGTATAGATAATAAAAATATTAAATATTTTGAAGGTTTAAAGACCAAAACAGTTGAAAGTATTTTTTTTCATACGAAACGATTTTGAATGAGGTGTAAAGTTAAAACGTAAAGTAAAAGATTTATTGTATTTGGAATTTTTTTTTTTCGCAAAAATTAATACAAAAAAATTTTTTTTTATACAAATAAAAGATAAGTGAAACTCGGAATTGTAGATCTAAATTAACATTACTCTATTAACTTTATTTATAACGTAAGTATAACGTACCTTGCATTGTGAAACAGAAATTTATACTTATATGTCTAGTTACAGATTATATAATTGTACATCAATATATTTAACTTTGCTAAATTTAAAAAAAGTTTTTTTTTCCGTTTTTATTTTTTATTTTTTTTTTTAATATGAAAAATAATGTCTACCGAACTGTTTTCTAAATTATTAAGCCAAAATTATATTGAACTACTAAAAGATAATGAATATTATGATAATACAATTGAAGTCGGTGAAGACCCTAATGTAAAAATATTTCGTGCTCATATGAATATTTTATGTTATCGTTCTCCATATTTACGAAGAACTTTGGCTTCTAATAAAAAGAATGTCAATGATGTTTTATCGCATATTAAATTACCAAATATATCACCGGACATTTTTCGAATTATTTTAAGGTAAATTTTGTTTATTTCACGATCGAATTTAAATTTAATTCCCTAATTTTAAAATTTTTAATATAGGTATATTTATGGTGGTATTCTTTCATTAAACGGACAAGAAACTTCAGATATTTTAAAAATATTGATAGCTGCAGAAGTGCTTCATCTTCAAGAACTGGTTGATTATTTACAAAAATGTTTAATTGAAAATAATTCCGAATGGTTAGAACAACATTTTGAACTTATTCATCGAACGAGCTTTCAATCCAATTCTTTATCAGAACTTCAACAATTTTGCACAAATTTGATGGCTGAATCTCCTGAGAAAGTATTTAAATCGTTTGATTTTACTTCACTTTCTGAAAATTCTTTAACTTCGCTTATTAAAAAGGATGATTTACAAATGAGAGAAATTGATGTATGGGAATATGTGTTAAAATGGGGTCTTGCACAAAACCCAACTCTTGTTTCAGATTCTAAGAGTTGGTCAGATGATGATTTCAAAACAATGAAAAATACTCTACAAAATTGTTTGCCCTTAATTAGATTTTTTAGTTTATCATCTATTGAATTCTCGCAAAAAGTTCGTCCATATCAAAAACTTTTAAGCCAACAACTATATGATGACCTATTAGATTCCTATTTGAATCCTAATGTTATATCAACCGATAATATTTTACTTCCTAGAAATATTAGAATGGATAAAATTATTGATTCAAAAATAGTTAATTTAAATATAGTTTCAGTTATTTCAAGAAGAATTGATAAAATTGAAACTGGTTATAATAGCAATTTTGCTCGTATTAGAGAATTACATTTACCATACAAATTTAAATTATTATTAAGAGGAAGTAGAGATAGATTTACTCCTGATAAATTTCATGAATTATGTGATGATATATCTAATACTGTTACATTCATTAAAGTAAAAGGGGAAAATGAAATTATTGGTGGATATAATCCTTTAAAATGGATATCTTCAAGTCTATCTTGGCATAAAACTGATGAAAGTTTTATTTTTTCTTTTAACAATAAGGATATTAATAATGCAATAATTAGTGATATAGAAAATACAAATTTTGCATTGTATAATAACTATCAATATGGTCCACATTTTGGCGATATTACTATATATAGTTCTAATCGATCTTCAGATTATAATAATATTTACTATAAAAAGCAAAATTATAAAAAGAGGATAAGAGATTCTGAAAGTAATTTTTATATAGAAGATTACGAAGTATTTCAAATCGTAAAGTGCTAGTTTTATGAGACAAATAAATTCCTATTATCATAAGAATTCGATGAATATTTTAATTAGAGGAACGTATTCCGGTATTCGTATTATTTTGAATTTTTGTTTTTTTTTACAATTAAGACATTATTGGAATAATCCCATACGGATATTGATTAACACTTACAAATCTTTTTCTTATGAAAATTTTTAGCATATAATTTCATTTATATAGTAAAGTAAACTACTTTTTTAAAATAAATAATCAATTTTTTTTTAAATCTAAAGTAACAAATGAACAATTCGTTTCTTCGTATTAAATTAATTTTCAACTCATAAAGAAATTGATTTAATTCAAGTACTTTGAATTTAAAATTGGTTGCAAATTAGCAAGATTTTTATGTTCGTAAAGCATTTCAACTGTTTGGAATTCGTAATAAACCTTTGTTGAATTAATTGAGAATTAATCAAACTGTGAAATCAGAATAGTTGATCCAAGATTTACTCACAAATTATAACATATAATATACCCCTCTGGCCAACATTATGCACTGATACGTGATATCGCTTTGGCCAAATTTTCCTTAATTCTGGCCATGGAGGTATTTAGTTATTACAACTAACTAAAAAGTAATGACACATCGAGCAAAAAGAAAAGAGTAAGACAAAAAGAAAATCACGGGTTCGGAAAAAAAATAACCAAATTCCAATTCTGGAAACGACTCAGAACAATGATGACGTCATGAAAATCCGTGACCTAATTTTTACGAGATGATTCGTTACATCAAACATTTAAGTATTAAACGACAAAAAAAAATACCAAACCGTTAAGGCTAGTATCAATCTCCTTAGATATCAAATAGAATGTTTTGTTAATGCGTTAGTTATGTAATAAATAATCAAGTGATATAGGAAGTTGATATAGTCAATAAATTTAGAAGAAGTTTGTTAAAGGAACAACCACCGAGAGTGGTATTGCAACCTATAAATTTATACTACACCGGATGAAGTTGCTGATATTGTAAGAAAAAACAGAAACTTTCCACAAAACATTGCGAATGGTGTAACAAAAACTACTATAACCAAAGATATTTTAGGAAAACCACTTGTTCTTTTCAGAATGGAACAATGAAGTATCGAAGAGTTCGCAAGGAAGACAGAGAAACTTGTATCTGTCCTACTACCGAACAACAAAGATGAAGATAAAGGTGACGGAAATAAAACAGTAGAAAATAAACAAGTCGTATTTGCTGAAGACAGAATTTGGTCTCACGTACTGTCATTTGCAAGAACAACGAAGTAACGACGACGAATTCATCTTTTGTAGAGGATACGATTTCAGAAAAGAGTACGGACAGAGAAAGAATCAAAAAAGTAAGGTATTCTTATGAAAGAAGAATTTAAAGAATATACGGAAACTAACGCAGAGTGTTCTGCTAGACTTCCAAAAATAATAAAGAAGAGGAAGACAAAAATGTTCTTAACAAACGCGATAAGGTTATTAATAAGGATGTACAGGTATTAAAATGTTGCTGCTGATGACGTACCAATATATAATGTAAACAATAGACTTTCATGACATTCGTAGTTTATAATTGTTAAAAATTTTTTATTTTTATTTTTCAAGGATTAGTATTAGTAGTCTTTTTATATTTATACTAGGAAACAGGAACTGTTGGAACGTCCAAAGCGTTATAATCACATGATCATCAATTACATATTACAAAAAATTAAAATCGTCTACAAAAAATATGTATTGCTAAAGTTAAAGAAAAATGTATAGTTAAAAATGTATCATTGCTAAGTTATAGTTAAAAATGTTAAAAATGTATAAGCTAAATAATCCAGTGTTCGGAAATGACCTGGTCATTTGACCATTTTTCGGATTAGGAGGCATTTGGTCAAATGACACCCCATCATTTGGCATTTGGCATTTGAATTATTCGTGAAATGACAAATGCCAAATGATTGGGTATCATTTGAATGTCATTTGCGTCCTTTGTCATTTGGTCATTTGTCATTAAAATATTTAAAGATTATTGGACAATTTATAATCACGTGATGTATAAAAAGGAAGGACGTAATCGAAATAATCACAAACAGAATCAATTTCACAAAATTATTTATTTTTTACTGTAATCTGAAAATAATAAATAATACAACCATAATTATTAAAGTGATAATAATATCTGATATGTTATTTATTATATATAATTTTATTATATAATTATATGCATAAATAAATGTTATGGCCATCTTATGATTAAATAAAGACAACAATTATATATATGGGATCCACTACATTTGTTACAATTAAATATTTTATTGCATAATTAATTAACTTTTATCTGTATGGATAAAATGATCATTAGTGAAATAATTATAAGTGAAATAATCCTGTCTATAATAATTTATTTATTTATTTATTTATTTTATGTGAAGACGGACAGACTATTAACAGGACATATACGTAACCGTGCTATCCTACTTCTAGCTATCATCCCCCGAGGACGGACCCGAACTTCTTTAAATCCAACGAACCAGGATGATCCCCTCCCCTACCAGAAAGGAACCAATGAACCGAAAGAAAAAAAATGATAAAGGACACTAACTAAATATTAAGAAGTTGTGGCAATCTACACATTATAAAAAGCAAAATTAAAAGGACTATTATTAGTAATTATATTATTGAAAGAAAAAACTTCATCTAAATGTGAAAAGAAAGAACCACTATGTAAAAAATTGGATGACGAAAATAAAATGAATAAAAAATCTTTATCTAATTTAAAATTACGAAAATCATTAAAAGGATTAATATATCCACATTCCATATCTCTATTATTATCGATAACTACCGGCCTATTAAGGGCAGCTGCGGTTCTTTGATTGCGCGAGAAAATGTCCCGATATTTTGTAAAAGACTTTTTTGTGATTCCCCAGGCGTCCCTTAAAGTTTTCCATTTCTGGTTGCGAGCTTTCCAAATATTAATTTTGATGAGGATACTACATTGGTGCATATAATGCATAATTAATTTAACAATGTGTTTCATAGTATTAATATGTGCTCGAAAAATCCCTAATAAATCATTGGATATATATGATTTAAGAAGTAAATAAGCCACAGGATGAATGGGTTCAGAACGATACGCCCATCTGAATGTAGGAGAGTATTTGATTGAATCAGAAATTACTAGAGATAGTCTATCAGTGTGAGATTTCATCAGTTCGATTAAAATGTCTCCCATTTGTATAAAAGAGGATTTGATAAGTTCATAATTATCTGAACATTCCCATAAATGAATATTTGTTTCAACGTGGTTATGACATGATAGGCATTGTGTACGGTCTTTAATGAGTAGAGGGAAATTCCTATTCAATATGTCCAAGGTTGGTAACGTGAGCGTTGAACATCTGATTTTCCATTTTAGATCTTTAGTATGTAACAGTGATGTTGTATCGTTACGGCCATTATATTTAAACCATTTGCTGGATAATGCCCAATTAATTAGAAGATTTTTGGTGTCGTTCTTAATTGATTCCAAAGAAGCGTGATTGAGGTGATTATCTAAACGCCGATAATTCAGTATAGTACTGACACATTTACGAACGTCCTTATCCAGGGGTACTTCATTGTTCCAGTTTAAAGTGATAGTTTGGTTGGGTAAATGATCGTGTATGATTGTCGTTGGTATAGGTTGAGTGCGGCCTAATTTGGCTTGAATATCCGCAATGTCATTAAACTGGTTACCCGAGTGGGCTTTGACCTTCAAAAGTTTCACTTTCAATGATAACGATTTTATGATAAAATGGATTGATGACCAAAGTATTTTGTTGTTAATTTTGTTGAAGCGCCTCGGCGATATGGTGTGTAATTTTTTTGATTTATGAAACGAATCAATTGCTGCTTGTGAATCAGTATGAATGATAATTTTACCAAACTCCGGGCATACGACTAACGCCGTTAAAATAGCCATAGTTTCCGCCTTGGTTGATGAAGGAAAGAATTGTAAAGATCCATTATAGGTGATGTTACTATTGAATAAATTTGAAGTAGTCCAACCATAGCCCATAGGAAAACCTGCTTGGGAATTAGTGGAATCATAAGAACCATCAGTAAAAAATTCTAAATCAATGAAGGGCGCGAGCGTATTAGCTATATCTTGTAAATCTTCTGATATTTTAAGATCATCAAATAATTTCGTAATTAGATCCATGTTGCGTAAAGTATTTGGAACATTAGAATTATCTTGAATAGGGTGATTAATGGGTCGAAAATTCACAGTAGAGTTTTAACCTCTTTGGATTAAATGATCATTAAACGCCATAAGGCGTTAGTTAGGATGACTATATTTAAGTAATTGTAAGTCTTTTATCGGAACGTTAGGACGAGGAAAGAGGTCTTCTTTTTTCTTTTTGGGTAATGCTTCAAGAAGAATCAATTCTTTATGCTTAACTTGAATAATGCATTTTGGTCTCATGTCTCCGACATAATAAGAGAAATGTTGAGCACAACCTTGACAACGAATCAAAATATTGGGAGTTGAACGAGGTGAAGTGTGGAGTGAAGACGCCGATATATCTTTATGAATCCAATGTTCCATATAAGATACTGGACAACAATTAGGAAAGTTGTTGGTACTAAGAAGTTTTCCATAGACGATATCTGAAAGATGCGGTATCCAAGATGTTACCCATTGTTGAGATCTTTT